GGCTATGGCTCCCTGCACTAAATGCTCAGCCTTTGGATAGGAATCCCCTGAGCCTTTGACGACACAAATAAACACTGCTTCCTGCTGAATGCCCTGGTGTCCCATGTCTCTGTGTCTCTGTGCAAGAATCCTGCAACAGTACCAAAGTGATATGATCAGCAGAAACAACACTTCAGACTTTGACTTTCGCTCTTTTCCCAGGTTAGGAATACACAGTGCCATGGTCTTTGTCATGCCGGGGAGTGGCGGCAAGCACTGCTCCCAGTCCCCCGCGATGGGGGTGAGCCGCTGATGCTCCACAGTGCCCTGGGTGCTAAGTCACCATATTCCATAATTTAGGTGTATTTGGTGCATTTTCAACTTACAATGGATTTACCAGGATGTAACCCCACCTTAAGTCTGGACCATCTGCATCCTCACAGAGTTGTGCAACCACGGAAATGGGGTGACCTGCTGCAGCCACCTAGCCACAGAGATTCCCAGAGATGGGTGTGGCTTCCCAAAATGCCAGTCAACCTTGTTGACTGCAAGACACCTTGAAAGAAGACTCCACCTCTGAAGCCTCATCCCTGCCTTTGATGCTATCCCTTAAGTAAAGAATCGGAGCCATTTTCTAACTGTTCTGTTCCAGCTCCTGTCTATCAGGCGCCCCCTTAAAACTAATTCTGACTTTGTCCCTTGTTTCTTCACTAATTACTTCAGGCTTTAATTTTCTCAGGTGGCTTATCCCCTCCTGTGCAGGAAGAATTACCCTGGAGAGGCGCTGGCCGCCTCGCGATACAGGTGCAGCTTAGGGCCTTGCTGGAAGAATCTGCTTCCAAGTTACTCCCCTGGCCGCTGGGTGGAAGGCACAGGGCCTCAGTTCCTTGCAGGCTGTTCCCGAGACCACCCTCAGCTCCTTGCCATACGGGCCTCTCCGTGGGGCTGCTGACAGTGCAGCAGCTGGCTTCTTCAGAACAAATGAGTGGAAAGCAACAGAAAGTGCAAATGACGAGATCAGTCCTTTGTCTCTCTCTCAAGTGACATCTCACTACTTTGGCCATTGCATTAGTTTTCTGTTGCTGTGTAAAGGTTACTAAATTCAGAATCTAGAAACAACACCCATGTATTATTACCCAGTTGATGTGGGTCAGGAATCGAGCACAGTGTAGCCGGGCTCTCGGCTCAGGGGGACTCATAAGGTCACAGTCAAGGTGTGGGCCGGGCTGTGTTCTCATCCGGGGCTCAGGGTCCTTTTCCATGTTCCCTCTGATTGTTGGCAGAATTCAGTCCCCTGTGGCTGGAGCTCCTAGGCCCCCATATTTTTGCTGGCCGTGAGCAGGGGCCACTCTCAGCTCCTAGAGTCTACTTAAAGGTACCAGCAGGCTGCTCACCTTCCTCCAACCAGCAGGTGAGGGCCTATCAGGTACACACAGGTAATCTCCCTCTCGATTAGCTCCAAGACACTGAAATGATATCCCTTTCTGTTCCGCAGCCCTGACCACACTCACAGCAAGGACATTAGTGTGGTGGGTGCCCAAGGGACCGAGAAGCTTAGAGGCCAGCTCAGAATCCAGTTTGCTACAAGAAATACACTGAAAAATACATAGGAAAAAATACAAAAGATAAAAATAAAAATTAAAAAAAAAATTTAATTTTAAAAGAAAAACAAACATTAACTAGATCCGGCCCATAATGAAAGGATGGAGATTACACAAAGATGTGAAGAATCCAGGGTCAGGTCACTGGGATCCCTCTTAAAATGAGCTGCTGACCCCATCCATCTATTTGACAGCCTATTGTGTTTGGAGGGGGTGTCTAATCCTGCTCTTTCAGGGTCTGTTGTCTAGTTCACAGTGACTCGTTTCCTTGTGTGATCTGTAGTTTTGGATTGTGAGCTCAGCTTCAGAAGGGACTTGTGTGGGAAGCCATGATGGCCAGGCTCAGGGCATGTAACTAGAGAGCTTCCCTATTGGTTTGGCCAGGTACCCCAGGGCCTATCATAGGCAAAGACTGCTAGTCAACGTTAGCCTCTCAACTTCAGGGTTCCTGGACCTTACGAATGGTGTAACTTCTTTGTAGGAATTCCAAACTTATATAAAAATTTCAAGGGAAACGTCTTCTGGACTTAAAGCTCAAGATTTTTTGCACCTTTCTGCTTCTCTGGGTGGACATTTTTTTCTGTCCTTTGTTCTAATAGTGTTGTCTTCCTTGGCCCCAGCTTTAGCGTTGCATTGTAAGAGCCCCCAACCCTCAGCCGTGTCCCCACTTGGCTCGTGAAACTCAACCCAGGCCCCTGGGCTGCCTCAGTTCTCTGTCTGCACCCTGCTTTGCAGCTCTCTCTTCATTTTTGGCCCTAGGAGACTTGGCTTCTTTTCTTTTCTTTTTTTTTTAAAGAGAGACAGAGAGAATTTTTTAATATTTTATTTTTCAGTTTTCGGTGGACACAACATCTTTATTTTATTTTTATGTGGTGCTGAGGATCGAACCCAGCGCCCTGTGCATGCCAGACGAGTGCGTTACTGCCTGAGCCACATCCCCAGCCCTGGCTTATTTTCTTGAATGCTCAACTCTATATTTAAAAGGAAACTTATCCAGTGGCTCTGGAGGCTGAGACAGGAGGATTTCGAGTTCAAAGACAGCCTCAGCAGTTCAATCCCTGGAAGTAAAAAAAAAAAAAAACTATAAAAGGAAACTTGTTTCTCATCAAGCATTTTTATGTGTTCTGTAGAGGGGCCCTTGTCAGGTTATCTCACCTGCTACGGAGAATTTAAAGATGGTAGAAATCCTAGACTGGAGGTTTGAGGGATCATACTTTTAAAATCACATCATGCCAACAGACAAGACATCAGAGTTGCTTTTGGAGCAACGATAGTGCTCTGAGGCAGAGGCTTCAACACAGACTTTCCACCCAGGGATCAAGGCCTCCACTAGCCACTTTATGCAGGGATGACGGAGACAGGGGAGGTGACACCAATGGCACTGTCATCACTGACTGTGAGACCTGGAGCTGCTCAGGGAGCAGGCATTCTGACCTTGGTGGCTCAGTCACCACTGCCCAAAAGAGCCAGCATGTTGCTGCCGCCCTCCCTGTGGCCTGCCCTGTGTGTGCACATGGGTCGCCTGTTGTGTTACGTGGTGCCTGTTCTAGGTATCACCTGTCATGTGTGGGTGTGAGTCTCATCCACGTCCCGGGGGCAGCTAGGTGGATGTGGGGTCCTTGTGGGGACCATGACCCCGTAAGAGGAGCAGGACTGAAGCCGCAACCTCACACTACGCCACACACCTGGGTCACCTCAGTCTGCTCCACATTGGAGACTTGGTCCTTCAGCATAATGAACTTAGAGATGAACTGTGACATCTGTAGATCCACTGTCCAGACATGTCCCCTCCCCATGTTCACCCAGCACACGTAGGACCCACGTCCTTCCAAAAGGCACCCACCCTGCATCCAGGTGCCCATTAGCCCAGGGTCTGGTCACCAACTCCAACTGGGGCTCTGTTGGAATCCTGCCAGGAGGAGGTTGCCACCTTCTAGAATGCTCCCTTCCTCGGCAGGTATTGATGGGACCTGGAGGGACTTGCTGTGTGACAGTGTCTGGGTCTGCTTGTCATTGAAAATTTGCAAGCGAGGCAGGCTGCTTTCCCTCCAACATGTAGACAACGTCTCCTCTCCTCTCCTGCGGTGCCCTTAGAGGACCCGGTGCTGAGGGGCCTACTGCCTCTTTTATGGACTGTCCCGGGAAGCTGTGGTTCAGATGGGAGGGGGGCGCCTTGCAAGGCCACAGCACCTGGCTTCAGGGCCCACTAGAGGCTTGAGAAGGCAATGGGGGGGGCAGAGAAAGGAGAGAGGGGAGCCACAGAACATGGGCAGGAGAACCCAGGAGACCCAATGCTGAGGACGGCGTGGAGGGGAGGCAGAAGCGAGGGTCTGGCCTTCAGCCAGGGGCCCAGGGGCTTGAGCGGGAGTAGTGTGGCCTCAGCAGAACACCAGGGGAAAAGCCACAATCCCCCAGGGCGCCCTGACTCCTCACCCAGTCCTTCAGAGGTCTTCACAGAGGGGTCTGGGTCTTCTCTGTCACAGTGGGCACCTGCAGATGCTTAACACTGCCTGGTTCGCCACCAGCTTCTGGGCATCCTAGCTGAGGCTGTGGCCCAGGACAGTGACCAAGTGTACCTGGGCTCGAGTCACTACTTGGCACCGGGTGACCCCCAACGTGATTCAGAAGTGGAACCTGCCCTCAAAGGTGTCCCTGGGAGATTGTGGCCAACATGCTGCAAGAGACAAACAGGGCTGGGGCCAGGCTGCCCGCCACCACAGTGCCCCAGGGGCGGGACCAGAAAGGCACACACCCCAGGCGCTCTTCATCCCCCTGCACCCACGGCCAAGACCCCCCAGTCAGGACAGTATAAAAATCTCTTTATTGCTTATTTTCTATAAAAAGGCGGGCTCTCATAGGAAGTGCAAAGCGCGAGTCACAAGAGTCACAAGCGGTCCAGGCCCGCAGCGCCCCGGGCTGGGGCGGGGTCCAGTGGCGTCCCTCGGGGCTTCGGCTGTGCTGGGACCCTAGGCCCCCCTCACCGCCGCGGTTCCAGTGGCCCCGGGCTCTGGGGTGGCTTCCGGACACAGATCAGAGGGCGCAGGGCTCCGGGACCGGCTACCGGGGCGGTCGTGCGGCCGGCGGCGAGCAGGGAGGCGCGGTCCAGCCGGCGCCCGGGGCCTCAGTGCTCCTCGGGGCCGTCGCCCCCCAGCGCCTGTTCGTAGGGGCAGGGCCGGCGGCAGGGGACGGCTGGCTCCGGGCCCGGCCCTGCCGCCTCCTCCTCGGCGCAGTCCCCGCCGCGCGCCCCCTCCGCGTCGCTCTCGTCCGAGTTCTCCTCCTCCAGGTAGCGGTAGCCCCGCACCTTGTGCTGCGGCCGCGGGATGCGCGGCTGGCGCGGGGCCATCCCGCGCCGCAACTTCCGCTCCATCCACAGGTACGAGGCCGCCGCCGCCACCAGAGTCACCAGCAGCACCGCCAGCTTAGCCTGGGCGCAAGGGAGCCATGAGGGCACCGTCCTCCCCGCTCGCAGCCCAGCTCGCAGCCACCTGTCCCGCTGCCTCCGGCCGGCCCCAGAGCCTCTGCCCCGCGCCCACACACCTCCAGGGCACCCTCGGGAGGATCCCGGCACCGCCCCGGTTTCCTGGTAAGCCCGACAATCCCTTTGCCTCACGGGTAGATAAGATTGGGTAAAGTCTGACCCAGGCCCGACCCTCTTTGACCAGGGCTTCGATTACCGTCTGTCCCCTCAACACAGCAGGCCGCAGTCAGGCCTTTCAGATTTTTAAAACTGTAACCCGCAGTCAGAGAACAACCGTGACTTGGCTCACAGACTCATATTTGCATCCCTGTTTTGCTGGTTTCTATTCTACTTCATTTTTTAAAAATGTTGCTCAGGACCTGCTAAACTGACCTGCCATGATGAAGCAGCAGCTCAGCGGGACACACTGGCCTAGCATGCTCCAGGCGCTGGGTCCCATCCCCAGCACCACAGAAAGAAAACAAGCAGAGGAGCCCTTGCAGGCCACGGAGGGAGACATGGAGGAAGACAGATTCCGGGAACCCAGGAACCCAGTCTGCATAGGTGACCAAACAGGCCCCAGGAAGACAGCTGGGATACACCCGCAGGAAAGCACAAACGATGGGTCCCTCCAGAGATGGGTGAACTGGGGCTGACAGGAGAGGCGGTAAATGGGGTACTGGGTTGGGGGCCACCCAGTGGGCTGAGGAAAGGGGTCCTTGGCCTGGGGCTTGGCCCAGGGAAGTGGGGATGGGGCATGGAGTCCCTAGCCCCACCCAACCTCACCTTCATGGGCAGGCTGGCACCCAGGTACACCATGAAGATGGCCACCGCCTGCCACCAGTGGTAGATGGTAAAGATGAAGTCCTGCCTCTCCTTGTCCTCATACAGGATTCCCAGGAGTGCTGCAAACAGGCGGAAAGGACAAGCAGGATGCAGGGGTCACCTGGTGCTGGGGACCTCCCCCTGAGACTCTCCTAGGCCCTGCACTGGTCCCCTCCATGAGTCCCAGAGCACCCGGGCAGCACTTATGCCAGTCCTTGCCTGCCCTCTAGAGGAGGCCCTGGTTACCCTGCTGCCCAGGGGAGTTCCAGAGGAGAGCTCTATGCCCAGAAGTCATGGCCTAGATCTCAGGTGCCTAGGGCCAAGAGCAAAGGGACCAGGGAGGGCCAACTATCCACAGCAACCAACTTTCTACAAATCGACCCTCAAGTGTGGGAGCAGGGGACTTGTTTCCCAAGGACCCTCCCAGGTGGGGGGAAGAATACTGACAGGGAGTCAGGGGACTCGGACTTGAGCTTCAGGACTGGAAGGTGGAGGTGGGGGTTCAGAGGTGCAGAAATGTGGATATAAACGTTGGCTCCGAGGGTTATTTGGGTCAAGTGAGTTTATGCATATTCTATGCTGTTAGAAGTTCTAAAGAGAACAGGCCAGCCTGGCACCTCACAGGTACTGGGAGATACTTGCTATTAACACCTCTGCCAGGCTCAGGGAATGAACACTCCTGTCCTGGGGCTCATGGGTGACATTAAAAACCGTTGATAGCTCTGGCACACCAGAACAGATGCCAATGTGGACTACCCACGTGGCTAGACCCATGTGTATCAGTAATTCCCACTGGCAATACCCCCTCCATACAGAGGGCATCACACAGCTGAACTTGGGCTCACTCTGCCTTCTGCTAATAGGACCCCTTTCCCCAGTGACTCATCCCTAGCAGCCCAGACCTGGAGACTGCTAGGCGATTAGGTTAGGATTCATGCCTGTTCCTGTCTCTGCGCCACAAAAAGGCCCAGATCTGGGGCCATATGTATATCTCAGTGGTAGAACACTTGGCTAGCACGCATGAGGCCCTAAGTCAATCCCCAGCATCCAGGGGGAAGAAAGAAAGGGCCCAGGTCTACACCTGCATCCTAGGGTATGGACAGGGCTACCTGCCACTAATCCCACTGTGCTGGTCCCTCGAGCATAGACCCCATCATCCAGTGTATGGAAACTCTATGAAGGCAGCCCCACCCCTGTGATGAGGAGGAGGTGTCCCCGCTGTGTTTTCCAATTTCCCTGAAGGCTGGGCACACCCACCCCATGTGTCCACAAGATCTCACCCCATCCCTTGGTGTCTGCAGGGCTCAGTGCCCACCCTGAAGTATCAACAGAATGTCCATACCCCCAGGGCGTCTGGCTCTTCTTCTTCTATGCCTCCAGTGTGGGTCTGTGGGATTTCCTTCCACCCCTGGACTGCCCACCTACCTTTACTTCATAAAACTCCATGGCAGATCCCCTATATGTTCGTGTCCATCCTTGGGTGTCCATGTCTCCCAACCACCCACAGCTTGCCACAGATCCTCCCCGCAATCATCCCAGTGTCCATGGCTGTACTCACTGCTGAGTCCGGTCTTGTTGAAGGCACTGCCCACACCCCAGAGGGCAGCTGCCACATAGAGGACCCAGCTGTGTTTCAGGGCTCGAGGTGCAGGGGCCCAGAAAAAGAGGCCAAGAGTGAGCAGCAGGTGCAGCCCTGCCCCAGTGACCAGGGGCACTGAGCGTGGCAACCACAGCCCCAGCAGACCCAGGACGGAGGCAGCTGAGGCACCCAGGCTGTAAGCCACAAGGAGGTAGGCCAGCCGCTCCAGCCCAATGGAGCACACTCCATAGCCCTGAGGGAAAAGCAGAGTATTGAAAGTCTGACAGCCCAGGCCCTGACCCTCCCCATACAAATGTCACTTTTTTTTTTTTTTTTAAAGAGAGAGGGGGGGAGAGAGAGAGAGAGAATTTTTTAATATTTATTTTTTAGTTTTTGGCGGACACAACATCTTTGTTTGTATGTGGTGCTGAGGATCGAACCTGGGCCGCACGCATGCCAGGCGAGCACGCTACCGCTTGAGCCACATCCCCAGCCCACAAATGTCACTTTAAGCCACACTTTGTCCTCTCTGGACCTCCTGGGAACTAATTTTCTCCAGGGCTGCTAGGAAGCTTCCAGGAGAACTGTCAATACTGAAAATACTTGGACTGTGTCCCCAAACACTAAGGACTGTACCCTACATAAAACCAAATGCTTTATGGAAATGATCCCAGTTCAACTTCAGAGAGGTTAAAGTAACTTGCCCAGGAAAAAGGAGAATAGGGACAAGGAAGGAAGAGAAAGAGGGAGGAGGTTCTTATACATATTTATACATATGTACTTTTTTTTCCAGTTCTGGGGAATAAACTCAGGGGCACTCTACCACTGACCAATATCCCAAACCCTTTTTACTTATTTTCTTTTTATTTTCTGAGACAGGGTCTCACTAAGTTGCCGAGGCTGGCATCAGCCTCCTAAGTCACTGGGATTACGGGCATGTGCCACCATGCCCACCTATACATATATACATTAAAATATGTGTATTTGGAATTTAAATTTAACTGGATATCCTGCCCCTTGTTGGCAACCTTATGCAGGCTGTACTTACCAGGGCGAGACCAGTGCAGGCAAAGAGCACCTCAAAGCCACTGTAGATAAAGAAGGGCACCAGGTGGCGCAGGCGGAAGTCACGCACGTACTTGAAGGGCAGCTGGAAGATGTTGCCCCAGCCCACGCTGCGCAGGTCGATCTCCTCGGTGGGCCGATAAGCTGCACCGCACAGCCCCAGCACCTGCCGGCAGGAACTGTTTAGAGGTGACCAGCCAGGCACCCCGCTCCACCCCTGGGCTTCAGCCTGATCGCAGCCCAAGGCCCCGCCCCCAGCAACACTCATGGGCTTTGGCCCCGCCCCGGGACACGCCCACAAGCCCTGCTTTCTAGGCCACGCCCCATCCCCACCCCCCAGGCAACGGCCACACCTCCACGCTCGGGTGGACTTGGACCTTGCTTACCAGCCCCCTCCTGATCTTAGGCACGCCATATCCACGCCCCCGGAACTTTAGCTCTGCCTTCTAGTATCGCCCTCAGACTTGAGCCACATCCTCCAGTCCGTGACCCTGGGACCGGCCCCAAACCCCTCTCAGGTAGCACTAATCTCTGGGATTCCAAATCCAGCCCGGGTCCCTAGGCGTAGGCCCGCCTCCTGGACTCAGCCCTGGCTGGCAAACTCGGCGCCTCCAGGCCTGCCCCCTCGGAGGCCACAGCCCTACAACCCTCCCCTGGCCACACCTCCAGGCAGCGGGACGCAGGCCCAGACTGTTTTCCAGGCTGTGCCACTCGGTCCCAAAGACCCATGCTTAGCCCCAACGCCTCTGGCCCATCCCCAGCCCGGGCCGCACCAGCAGCATGGCCAGGAAGGCCACCGCCATGAGCACGCTCTCCACCACGATGAGGTTTCGGCTCCGCGGTAATGTCCGCAGAACCGTCTTGTTGAAGCCATTAAGGATGCCATGGCTGTTGGTGCCTGGGAAGAGTGGGTGGGGACACGGTGAGTGGGACCCGCTGTCAACCCTACCACGAAGAAGTGCAGCAGCCAGGGGACAGGCGAAGGTAGTGCCGGCAAGGAGCGCTCCCCTGGGAGGCTGGGCAGTCCACCTCCATACATCCACCCTGCACTGAGCTCTGCCTGCCTGGCTGGCCCCAAGGGAGAGCTGGACAGTCTCAATCCAGGCGGCCCCCACCGCTGTCTGCTGGCTCAGGCAGCTTAACCACATGCTCCTTCTGGGTCCTGGCCTTTCCCACCAAAGTGATGGGATGCCGGGCTTCAGCCCCGACCCCTGTGAGTGAGGGCTCAGTGTCTGCTGGGTGACTGGGTGGGGGGGAGTAGCAGGCCCTGGTGAGCCCCCCACCCCCATGAATACTAACCGCAGCTCTGCACGTTGTACAATGTGTGGTTCAGGTCATACAGGTAGTAGTTCAGGAAGTAAACCATGGGCAGTTGGGCACAGGCAAAGCTCAGCTGTGGACAGGAGGGCCGTTGGGGCCAGACTCAGGCACCAGCCAGGCAGGAAGCCCTGGCACTGTCTGGGCACAGACTTGGGGAACTGGAGCCCTCCCCCTACTGGGTCAGCCTGGAGGCAGGGTAGCCGGGGGGTGCCCAAGACAGGAGGACTTCTTCCTGGCCAGCAGTGTAGACTGGGAGGAGACAAGGTCTCCGTCACTAGAAGCAGGCAAGCAGGGGTTGGCTCCAGAAAGGAAGCTGGGACTAGAGGATTGAGAAGACGTGCAGTGGGCTCCCATGTATGAGTTCTGGGCCCGGGACATCACACACACCCCCAGTGCGGCGCATGGTGCTCACATGGAAGAAGCTATAGAAGATGGCTTGGAAGACCAGGAGGTAGGGTGCGTGGGAGCCCCGCGGTGGACGCTGCTGAGGGCCCTGCTCATCCTGCTCCTTGTAGTGGGAGTACTCATAGTATTTCTGCGACATCCTGGGCCACAGGAGTAAAGGCTCGCCTCAGCCCCGTCTATGGCAACCCCACTTCTAGCACCCTGAGCTACGGGCTGAGCAGCTGAGGCCCAGAGCAGGGAAGGGGCTTGCCCAAGAGCCCCCAGCTGAGGGCGGCAAAGCAGTCGAGGCTCAACCAGGTCTCCAGCCTCCCAGCCTGCTGCCCCCGACTCACCTGGTGATATAGTTGCCCATGGAGGCCCAGAGAGGAACGATGGCCATGCCCAGGGCCACAGCTGAGGGCACCAGTGTGTAGTAGCGCTCCCAGTAGTTGGTGGAGACAAAGAGCGCATAGATGCCCACGGCCAGGAACATCATCCACTTGGTGCCAAAAAACCTGCAGACAGGGGAGGGGTGCTGGTTTCCCAGACCTGCGGGGACAGCCTGGCCTGAGACCAGACGGCCACGGCCCTGTATCCCCGCTTCAAGGCTGTGTGTGATGGAGAGAGCCCTGGCCAGAGATGGCCAGAGAGGGCCCGAAGATGGAGTCTCAGGTTACAGATGCCGAGTGGATTGAGACAGGCCACTGTGCCTGCACACCTCGGTTTCCACAGCTGTGATGTGGGCAGGACCCAACCTACAGGCCTCTCGTGGTCATGGCAAGGATAGAAGTGAGTGGCTGTGGGTACAGCTAGCACTCACTCCTGTCCTGCCTGACTCACCAATCTCCCTTTCTCCTCCCAGGCTTCTGAGGTGACTCTAGGGCCCAGTGACATATTCAAAGGGCTCGACCAGGCTAGGATGAGAGAGAGGACAGGCCTCACGCTGTCAAGCGCCCGAGTTGGAGCCCTTAGTGCCCCTTCCTCCCTGCCCACTGCTCTTGGGTTCCACTGTGGTCAGTGGGGAAGTTTCCCCTTCTCTGGGTCTGGGGAGACGCCACACAGTGACCATGGAAGGAACTTGATCAGTGACAGGGTAAGGACCCAATCAGAGCACGGAGGCTGATCAGCCTAAAAGCCCACTCCCAGCATTTCTGGGTTTTACTTATGTAAAACTTAGTTCTTTCTTTGTCTTGACTTCCAGGAAGCTCGAAGCTAAACAACCCTGGGTTTTTGCCGCCCATTCTTTTGAGCCACATCTCCAGCCCTTTCTTTCTTTTTTCAAGATAAGATCTGGCCAAATTGCTGAGGCTGGCCTAAAACTTATTCTCCTGCCTCCACTTCAGCCTCTCAAGCCACTGGGATTACAGGCCCCGCTTGTTATTTTTAGTTTGCAATATGACAGACAGGCAGCCTCCTCTTGATCTATTTGAGGGAGGGGCAGTTCACTAAAAAAGCACATTTTGATGGAGCAAAAAGTAAAATGTCAGCACTCATTCACTGCAGGAGAGGATTTCAATGTTTAAAAATTGAAACAGCCCATGGTCATGAGCCTTTGGAAAGGTAGCCTGGTGGTTCTGGCCAACAGTGAGCACCTGGGTTTAGAGTCACTTGACCAGCATTCAAACCTGAGGTCTGCCAGTTACTGCCTGTGGGACGCAGTCAAGTCTTCTCACGACAAGTTTCCCTCGTGTATGGGAGCAGCTACCCTGGACTGTTGGGAATTTAGCTCCTACAGAGTGCCCAGCACATAAGAAACAAAATAAAGGCTAGCTGTAATTATTTAAAGTAATAGGTTTCTAGACCTGAAAGCATTTCATATGCCTTTGACCTAGTGAAGACACTGCTGGGAATTTAACCCAGGGGAAAACAAAACAAAAAAAAATAATTTTAAAAAGAAGGAAAGAGCCGGGCACTGTGAAGCCACCTGTCACAGGAAGCTGAGGAAGGTGGATCACAAGTTCAAGGCCAGTCCGAGCAATTTAGTGAGACCCTGTCTCAAAAAATAAAAGGGTTGGAGGTGTAGCTCAGTGGTAGAGCACCCCTGGGTTCCATCACCAGTACCAAAAAAAAAAAAGTAGTAGAAGAGGAGGACAGACAGACAGCCTGGCAGT